ACTGAGGCTGAGAGCGGTTTACAGCAACCTGTCGAAGGCGGCAAAGCTTGTGAGCAGCGGGGCTGAGACTGGAAGACAGGAACCCCGGCTTCAAAGCACCCCAATTCTCCACCGTGGTTATACTCAGCTCTCTCTCCTGCTATGGGGCTAAATGCCCAGCCACACATGCTCCAAGAAGGAAAACTGAGAAGTCATAAAGCTTGATCAGATGGAATCAGCAAGGGATGGAGCCAGGAGTGAAGAGAGTCTGACTTCCACATCTGCTATTGTAGATGGTGCAGGCCATCCAAGGATGATCCCTGAAGTCCTGTTCTTTATTTTTGTGTGGGGGGGGGGTCACACCCAGCAATGCACAGGGGTTACTCTTGGCTCTACACTCAGGAATTGCTCCTGGCAGTGCTCAGGGGACCATATGGGATGCTGGGAATCGAACCCGGGTTGGCTGTGTGCAAGGCAAATGCCCTACCCGCTGTACTATCACTCCAGCCCCTGAAGTCCTGTTCTTTATCAGTTTTGTGACCCTGTGCATTCTCTTTGCTTAGCTCTGGTTCCTTCTTCGAGAAAATCCACACAAGGAACTTTCTAGAATTTTCTAGAACTTTCATCTCACAGAACCACCATTAGTGCCCATCCAAAGAAAAGAGACATACCACCAGACCAATGATAAGCAGAAAACACCAAACACTGAGAGGGTAAAACAGCCTAATGCTTAGGACTGAGCTCGGAATGAAAGGGTGGGGAGGCCGGGAAGAACTCCAGCTCTGGAGCCCTTTGGGGGCTTGACTGGGGGACAAGAATGATACTGCCACTGACCCTGTGCCAGTGGATGGGCCAGGGAGCCTCCACGCATTGAGGGATGACCACCTTCAGGGTTAGGAGATGTCAAAGTGAATGAGACAAGCACAGCCCCATGCTCAGAACAAGGGAGAGTGCAGGTGAGTGACCCCCCAGGCAAAGGCAGCTGCTGGCCTGGGGAGGGACCCACCACCCACAGTGGGTCTTATTCCTGCTCCCGCTTCCACCTGGCCTGCCACCCCGAGAATGTTCCAATGACAATTGGCCCGCTGGTCCAAGCTTTGTGCCTGCACGCATAGCTAACCTCCCACTCGCGTCAGTTCTGGTTTTCTTTAGCCAAGAGATTTGATTTCTTCAGGGCTGAGAAGGCAGGGAAGGTACTCAGAGTGACACTGAGAGAGGGGGAGGAGTGGGGAGAGCGGGTGAGTGGGGCCACACGGACGTGTTGGCTCAAGTCTCCTCTGAGACGAAACATCCCGGGCTTGGGAAGAGGCGGCCCCAGGTTCCCAGCCCAGGCCAGGAGGACTAAAAAGGTCAAAGGCCACACCTTGCACCCCATAGCCTGTGGGTCATAAGTCCAGGCTCTAGTCTCTCTGGCTGCCTGTGACAATAACTGCACATATCCCAGGATCCAGAGGTCACCGGCCTCTTCCTCCACAGACTCTCCAGCCATGAAGCGGGCCCTGTCAAAGGGCCTCACAGGACCCCCTGTCTAGACCCACAGCTCACAGGCTCAATGGGCACACCTCAGTCTTGCCCCCTGCATACACCCACCCCAGCCCCCACCCCTGCTCTGCTGGGGAGCTGATGCAATTCTTCTCTGGAACTTGATAGGATGTAGAGAATAATTACAAATGAAAAGGTTATTCATAATTTTTAAATGAGTTAATTAGTAAACGCAGCCAGACTCACTCATTACCGTAATTAATAATTGATTATACTTGAAATTAAACACAAATTTTCATCAAAAATCTAATTAAATATCTGTGCTTTTGCCTGTTGATTAGATCAGTTGGTCTGCTAGAAAGGAATCTTCGTGAAAGGATATTTGTGCTTGGCCGAGACAATTAATTCGATTTTTAATAATTGAGAGTTTCTTCCACGTTAGTCAGCAGAGCCTGTGATTATGGCCAAACAGCAGGACGCGAATCCCTTGATCCCTCCCGTCCTCTTCTCCAGTGGAGTGAGCAGGCCTCCTGGTCAATCCTGTCCTGGAGGCCAAGGACAGACTGGGGACAAGCTCCAGCTGCAGTCACTGGCTCGGCCATCATGACCACCCATTCCAGCCAAGGCTCACGTCAGCTTTCTCATCAGGACTGGGGGGCAGGGGCAAGTCCCTCCAGGACCAGCAGTAAGGGAGAGCAGTTGGGCATGAATTCCCTGAGGTAGCGGCTGGGCATGAGCTGTCAGTCTCCAGGTAACAGAGAACACTGGACATGTCTCCGGCCCTTGGCAATGGAATCTACAGTCAACTGGTAACGTTCCTATATTGATGGGGCTTGACCAGAAGGATGCATTCATTCTTGGCAAGGCCACTATACAGAAATGTCACCCCTCCTCGCTTGAGGCAGAAACTCTCTCAAGTCAACCTCAGAAGGACACCTGATCTCCTTGACCCAAATACATGAAAAGCTGATTATTGTCTTGCTACTCCTTACAACCTTTCCAAAGGCTTCTGTTGTCCATCCAGTTAAGTCCCTTAACTTAAATCTCCAAATAGATCTTAACAGTTAGACCCAAATCCTGCAACGGCCCAGTCCGTGCTGATTAACGATCAATGACAGCACCTACTTTGTTCTTTGTGGCACCCCCTGGAGCTACTCTCAGGGTACTTGTCAGCTGAGTGGATGGTTCAGTGCCGCTCAGGGCACCAGTGCTCTGTTGGGGGGAGGAGAGAGCAAATGAAGGCTATACCTGGCAGTGCTGTGGGCAGAGGGATACAGGGGGCATGCAGGGATCACACACGAGCCCCTGTAGGTGCAGGCAAGCACCCTGACCCCATAATTATCATCTAGCCCTAAGCCGGGCCCCACTTTGAGATTCAGTTAAAACAATCTCAGGGCCAGAGAAACAGGAAAGCAGATGAGCGTTTGCCTTGCATGCATCTGATCCTGGTTCAATTCCTAATCATGGTTGCCTGAGCACTGAGCCAGGAGTGATCCCTGAACACTGAGCCAGGAGTGATCCCTAAGCACTGAGCCAGGAGTGATCCCTGAGCACTGAGCTAGGAGTGATCCTTGAGCCAGAAGTAAGTTGTGAGCACTATCATGGTTCCCAAACTGTACCCCTTAAACAAACCCCCTCCAACTCTCCCCAGCCCCCATTTCCTCCCCCAAAAGCCTCCCTCAGCTCTTTGAGGTAGGGCGTTCCCAGAGTCCAGAGCTGCCTTGAGCACTCCTGTTCCTCTGCTCCGTCCTCTACAGTCCTCCGGAGGGGGGCCCAGCCGCTCACCCTCTGAGGCCCATGTGCACCTGGTTCCACATGGGTGCCCGGTATGGTCAGCTGAATGAAAAACAAAATCCCGCATGGTCCTCTCAGTGTGGGAGAGAAATGAGGTCATCCACTGGACACTGCCACTAGCTGTGCTTGGGGCGAGGGGGACACCATATTGGGAGCACTGGAGATACTCGCGCAAGCCGGGTGGTGGCGCTGGAACCCCAAACCCTCCCTGCAGTCCCGTCTACATCAATCACACGCACCCACGGGGCCAGGAGCCCTGGGCTGGCCGGGTTAGTAGATGCCTGGATGTCATCCATGTTCTCTCTGCCCTGGACTGTGGTGGTAGCCCTTTGTATGGCCGCTCAGGTGCCTGTGTGACACCATTTCCTCAGCAGCAAGCAGGCAGCCTGGGGCCACAAAAGGCTTGGACGGTCTTCACAGAAAAATAAACCCAGCAGAGAGGCCAGAGAGATCGCACAGCGGGGAGGGCGTTTGCCTTGCACGCAGCCAACCCGAGTTCCATCCCCAGCATCCCAGAGGGTCCCCTGAGCACTGGCGGAGTGATTCAGAGTGCCGAGCCAGGAGTAAGCCCCGAGCATCACCAGGTGTGGCCCCAAACCCAAACAAGCCCAGCAGAAGCCGAGCAGAGAGCCGGTGGAAGCAGAGGCGGCGTCTAGCAGCTCGAGAGAGAGGGACGAGATCTCGCATGGCGCCCGGTCACCCTCCTGACTCCTTGGCTTGAAGACACTGAACCCCTGAGAGAAAAGCAATGGCCGTAGGCACACTGCCACTGCGCCCCTTCTCCAGGCCAGAGCAAGCGGCGGCCGGCGCTGGTGTGGCCGTGCTCCCCGTCCCAGACCCCTCTCCTCTGTCAAGCGCCCTGCCGAGCGAGGAGGCTTCGGCGGGACAGGCTCCTTTAGCTCAGACAACCAGCTGATTCCAGCACGGGGCCCAGGTCTTGAGTCAGCAAGAGCCCCCTGAGTCTGCAGATGCCAGGAGCACGGGCAGAATGGAGCAGGGCACACCCCACGACCGCCGTGGATGACTCCTCAGTGCATCTGCTCGGAAGCCAGCACTTGTCTGGGGGCAGAGCAGAGCGGGAAGCTAAGGGAGGAGGCTTGTTTGGGTTTGGGGCCACACCCGGTGATGCTCGGGGCTTACTCCTGGCTCGGCATTCAGAATGTAGCCCACGAGGGGTGCAGGAGGGACCCTTGGGCCTGGCTGGAGCTGCGCGGGGCTCTCTGAGGTGCAGCATCAGCCCTCACACGGGGTCTGTCTGGAGTTCCTGACCACAGTTTCAGGGCTGAGTCCTGGCCCTGTTCATGGGTCCTTCCTTCCGGGGCTTGGGGGCACCTCACAGGGTGCCGGGATTAACCCAGGTTACATGTGTGCGAGGCAAGTGCCGTACCAACGTTGCTGTTGCTCTGGCCTCTCTGGTTTCATTCCGGACCTGAGCCCAGACTGTTGCTGGCTCCCAGTTTTGCTTCCTTCACATCGACCTCCCGGAGGAGGCAGAACGGGGCCAGTGGGGGCAGTTCCCAGTGGCTACCTTGCCTGCTGTCCCCGCCCACTGGCCTCAGCGGGTGCATCTGCTTCAACCTTGGTGTCACCACACCAGGCTTGGTGTATCCTGCACAGCACAGCCGGGGGTGGAGAGGCAGCCCAGCGACTGCTGCCCCCATGCCCCAGCTCTGGGCGTCTGCCTTGAGAGACGCGGGGGTCCCAGGGCAGCCGGGTGAGGCGGGGCGGGGGGGGGGGGCGCTTACCCACGAAGTAGGCCAGCAGGACGAGCAGGCTGGCTGAGATGACAATGGCGCTCAGGGCCGCGCACTTCCAGTTGCAGTACTTGGATGGCTTCTTGAGGCTGAAGGCCGGCCGCGAGAAGGTGCTGCGGGGCAGGGGCCGGGGCGGGGGGGAATACACGGTGCTGGAGGTCAGGGGGTACCCGGGCGACGTGGTACAGAAGAGTGGCGAGGTGCCCCCCGGCTTGAAGAGGAAATGCCTGCAGCGGGGAGAGAAGTCAGAGGGCGTCAGGGCCCACGGGCCACAGGAGGAGTGACAGCAAGCAGAGGAGTCTGGGAGAGAGAGAGAGAGAGAGAGAGAGAGAGAGAGAGAGAGAGAGAGAGAGGGGAAGAGAGAAGAGAGAAGGAGGAGGGAGTGGAGAGAGAGAGGAGAGGGAGAGGGAGTGAAAGGAGTGTAGCACTGTCCACCCGTTGTTCATGGATTCGCTCGAGCGGGCCCAGTAACGCCACCATCGTGAGACTTGTTGTTACTGTGTTTGGCGTATCGAGTACATCACGGGGAGCTTGCCAGGCTCTGCTGTGAGGGTGAGATACTCTCGGTAGCTTGCTGGGCTCTCCGAGAGGGGCGGAGGAATCGAACCCGGCTCGGCCGGGCTGGCTGCGCGCAAGGCAAACGCCCTACCGCCGTGCTATCGCTCCAGAAAGGAGAGAGAGGAAAGAGGAGAGAGGGAGAGAGGAGAAAGGGAGAGAAGGGAATGGAGGAAGAAGAGAGAAGAGGAGAGCGAGAGAGGAGATAAAGGGAGAAAGAGGAAGATAGAGGAGAGAGTGAGAGAGATGGAGAGAGAGAAGGAGAGAGGAGAGATGGTAGAGAAAAGAGAAGGGGAGAGGAGAGAAGAGAGAGAGAGAGAGAGAGAGAGAGAGAGAGAGAGAGAGAGAGAGAGAGAACAGCACAGACACAGCAGAGAAGGTAGCAGAGATGGAGGAAGGACACCCACGCACCAGACCACAAAACAGGACGCACAAGGACAGGTCCTCCCAGCCCAGCACGGGGACGGGGCAGTCTCACCCAGGGACGCCACCCAGGCCAGGCACACATCACCAACGCAACAGATGTCAGTGTGCAGACCCTTCCCTGGGGAGGGCGGGACAGGGGCGCTGTTTCTTGAGGGGAAAAACAAAGCTGCTCTTTAAGTGATGGCCGGACTTGCAAATCGTCTCCAGTCCTGCCCTGCAGACGCAGCAGCTCGGACCCCCTCACCTGTTCTATGCGCTGTGCCTCTGCTCCTGGGGAACCGGAATCCTGAACTTTCTAAAGCGCGGGAGGCGGGGAGCCGCCACCCAGGCCTGCCCCTGTCAAGAGTCCTGGTGGCTGCCACCTGGCCCGGGACCCTGTGTGAGTCCACGCCACCTTCTCTGAGCCTGCCGGGGGCCCGCAGGAGAACAAGCTGGCCGAGCAGCTCACACGCCTGCCGGCCGTGGCCACAGGAGGTGTCGGGAACACTGCCCGGCGTGGCTCTGGCCACCGTGGGGAGAGCCGCACGCTGCCTAGAAAATGGGGCCGTGCTCGGCGAACACTTGCTGTCTCTTGGGTCAAGGCTACACCGAGGTGGGAGGGTGTAATCTGGAGCCCGGCCAGAGAATCCCCAGCCAGGGCCAGGACAGAAAGTCAGGTCTGGGCTGCAAACTCCCAACCCAACAGGGCTCGAGCAGATGGTGTCAGCGTGCTGCAGGCAGCCAATGAGATGCTGGGCGCTGCATATTAACAGGACAGCCGAGGCAGCTGTTAATATGGGGCGGGGGTAGGGGTGGGGGTGGGGGCAAACGAGCGAGCCAGGGAGAAACCTGGGCATGGCCATGCGGGACAGCCTCAGGCCCACCCTGAGAGCCCGGCAGGCAGGCAGGCAGGCAGGCAGGCAGTGGGGGCCGCGCAGACACACACGGTGGGGGGCAGGGCACCTACCCGTCACTGTAAGCCCCTTCGTGGCGGGAGGCGCTGAGAATGTCCATCTCAATGACGGTGTCCTGCAAGGACCCGAGGAAGGGCTGCTTGCCTAGGTGTCTACGCACACATGGAGACATGAATGGAGCGATGAGTCATGCACGGATGAGGCGGGTCGAGAACACGCAGGGGCCCGTGCGGCTGTGCAGGAGTCCAGCAGGGAGGCGGGGGGGGGGCGGGCAGGGTGGTTCTTGGGGCCTGGCACGGCCGAGTGCACGTCACAGCGCGGGGTGGGGGTGGGGGGCGCCCCTGGCCCCGAGCAGCCAGTGGGGTTCTTGTTACCAACCTGAACTCCAGGCAGCTGCTGTCCCGGCTCGTCCCTGGGGTGGGGACTGACTGACCCCAGCCCAGCACCGAGCAAGGTGGCCACTGCCCTCTCCTTCCTGTCTCCACAGCTCCACCAGGAAGCAGAGACCAGGAAGGGGGGCAGCACTGGCTGAGGTCTCCCACACACCTGAACCTGGTTCTGAACTCGGCCTTGGTGGGCTTTACATCTGCCTCTGTGCCCAAAGAGCAGGGCACCCAGAGTTCCTGGAGCCAATTTCTCACTCTCCTCCCTCCCTCCCTCCCTCCCTCCCTCCCTCCCTTCCTTCCTCTCTCCCTCCCTCCTTCCTTCCTTCCTTCCTTCCTTCCTTCCTCCCTCCCTCCCTCCCTCCCTCCCTCCCTCCCCCCCTCCCTCCCTCCCTCCCTCCTTCCTTCCTTCCTTCCTTCCTTCCTTCCTTCCTTCCTTCCTTCCCCCTTCTTTCCTTCCTCCCTCCCTCCCCTTCCTTCCTCCCTTCCTTCTTTCCTTCCTTCCTCTCTACCCTTCTTTCTCCCTCACCTTCCTTCCTTCCTTCCTTCCTTCCTTCCTTCCTTCCTTCCTTCCTTCCTTCCTTCCTTCCCCCTTCTTTCCTTCCTCCCTCCCTCCCCTTCCTTCCTCCCTTCCTTCTTTCCTTCCTTCCTCTCTACCCTTCTTTCTCCCTCACCTTCCTTCCTTCCTTCCTTCCTTCCTTCCTTCCTTCCTTCCTCCCTCCCTCCCTCCCTCCCTCCCTTCTTCCCTCCCTCCTTCCCTCCCTCTCTCCCTTACTATTTTCCTTCCTTCCTTCCTCCCTTCCTCCCTCCCTCCCTCCCTCCCTCCCTTCCTTCCCACACTCAGTGGTGCTCAGGGCTTACTGCTGACTCTGCACTCCGGGATCAGTGCTGGCAGGGCTCAGGGACCCCTCTGTGGTGCTGCGGGTAGAACCTGGCTCAGCTGCATGCAAGGCAAATGCCCTACCCACTGTACCATCTCTGCAGTGGGGCCATTTTCCTTTAAGGCAGGGGTCTCAAAACCAGCAAAGCACTGCTCACTTCTGGGGGGCTGCCCCCTCCAATGCCAGGGTGCTGGGGTGGGGCCTGGGAAACCACATTTCCTACAGCCTCCAGGTGGATGGGACATACTCTGGGGCTCTGGGCTGTGTGAGGACACTGTGTGCCAGGAGACAGAAGGGAGGCGCTTTGTCCCCCTACTGCTGAGGCAACACGACTGCCTTACCAGAACGAAGATGCCCCCTGGCCCTTTGAGGAGGGCAGCCTGGCCTGCTACACGGTGTCCCCGACCCAGAGTGGCCTGGATCCTGTTCTCCATCCTTGGACCCCGGGCCGCAGGGACCCAGCGGGGAACCTTTCTCTGGCAGAAGCTGCGTGGGCCTGAAGGCTGTGGAGGAATGGCCAGTTGCAGGGAGCTGGGTTTGGGGCCCCACTGACCACAGACCTTCTTTTTGATTTTGAGCAATTATTGAGATTTTAAAAAAAAAGCCTGATTCAAGGCCCTGTTCTGCAGCTTTATTTATTTTTTTGCAGTATGACTTTGGGTTAAACCGTTCATCTTGCCTTCCTTCCTTGGTCTGTAAAATGGGGTGACGATGTTTAGCTCACTAGGGGGCTCCGAGGGCCAACTGAGAAATATTGAAACCCAGCAAAGACTGGGCGGGAGAGACAGTACAAGGCAAGATGCTGGCCTTGCACGCAGCTGACCTGGGCTCCGTCCCTGGCACCCCAAAGGGTCCCCTGAGCCCTGCTGGGTGCACTGCCCCAAGCAAAACAAAGCAAAACAAAACAAAAAGCAAAAAATAAATATTACAGAAGCCAAATAATGTGAGTATAATGCTAATATAAGTTTTACCCACACCTACTCTCCATCTTTCACTGGCTGGTTCGGGAGTTTCGCAACCAATTCTCTATTGCAGATGTGATTCTCTGTCAACAACTCTTGAGGCTATCTATCACCTTTGCTTTGCGGGCTGGCAAAGCAGGACGGGGGCTTCGCTGGAGCCTGTTGCTGAGGAAGATGCAGCCTAGCCAATGGGGCAGTGTGTGACCTCAGCGCTGCCCTCGCATCCTACCTCCTAACTCATCCCCCACCTCACCCCCTGAGGCTCTGCCCAGGATCCTGTGTCCCTACAGACCACAGTGAGGAGAGGCCCTAAATCCCACCCGGAGGTATGCTCTCTTGGACATCCTCAGGGACAGTGTGAGGACAGGAAGGAGCCAGGCCTCTGGGCACTGGGCATCCCCAGGGACTGCCCCAGAGTGTGCCCAAGGCCCAGTGCTGGGGTTGGGGTGGGCGTCTCAGCTCCTGTACGGAGTGGGGGGGACCTGGGCCCTGATGTGTGCTCCGCTGCTCACACACGGCCTCCTTGCCCTTCCCTGGCAGGCTCACTCTTTGCTTCCTCTGGTCCAATGCTCCCCAACATCTGCCTGGATCACACCCTCTCTTATCACTTAACCCTGATGTCTTCCACCCGATTCCTCCCTCCCAGCCCACACCCCATCACACAACAAGATATACACTCACTCCCACAGCCACGTAGACATACATATACACGATCTTTCTTTCTTTCTTTCTTTCTTTCTTTCTTTCTTTCTTTCTTTCTTTCTTTCTTTTTTCTTTTCAGGTTACACCCAGCGATGCACAGGGGTTACTCCTGGTGGTGCTCGGGGGACCATATGGAACGCTGGGAATCGAATCCGGGCTGGTCACATGCAAGGCAAACGCCCTACCCGCTGTGCTATTGGTCCAGCCCCATGATCTTTTTAATGTGTTCCTTCCCCTAATGTCAGCACAGGGATTTTCTCCATCTTGCTTGCTGCCCAACTGCTCGGCACCTGTGTCCGGACAGCAGTGGGTTGTCGGTCACTGCTTGCTTGGTCCAACAAAGCTGGCACATGCACAGAGCCTGGTGCCTGGGGTCGAGTGCCTTGAGGTGGCACAGCTGGGTTCTCCTTACTGTATCTGCCACTCCCTTCACTTCAGTAGGAAACGGCCTGTCTGACTCCATCCCTCTGTCCTGCCTGAGCCAGCTGGAACAGGTCTGGGGAGCGGGTGGAGGAGTATCATTCACTAACCCTCTATACCTAAACTACTAGGCCAACAGTGGTTCCTGCTGAAGATTTGCCTTCCTTCTGGATATCTGGGGTTTGAGCCTGTGCCAGGCAGGCGATGCCAAAATGACACCCCCCACCCCACCCTGACCAACCCCAAATCCATGGGCATTCAGTGAGGGAGCTCATGAGGGGCCCTGGAAAGACTCTGGAGCTGCAGGCATCATGGCCACCCAATGTGCCCAAGCCGGGGGCTCGTGCCCACTTGGTTCCCTGGTATGGCTGGCTTCCTCCCCACCACGTACCCTTCAGGCAGCCATGGCTGGTCTGTCAGAGTTTGCAAGGCTGTGCGTGCCCAGACCCCACCCAGGGACCACTGTCCAGCTCCCTGGCATGCGGGACGGCCGGGCTCACTGAGAACACAGTCCCCCTCTAAGGGGCGCCAGTGAACACAGTGGTAAGCACAGGACAGTCTCTCATTCTGAAAAGTGGACAGGGCTGCTGATCCCCGGGCTACGAGATGGGCCCTGACTCCCATCGCAGGCCTGAGCTCAGAGGTGCTCCCCTCCTACAGCAAGAGCCTGCGGGTGGCGAATCAGCCTGAATCCAATTCAGAGGGTGACACAGCAGTGTGGACGGCTGAGCAGGCTGTCCTTGACCTCGAGGGTTCTTCTGGGATGGAGCTCGGAAGCAGCGTGGGGTTGAAAGCCCCTCCCCCAGCTCTCACAGGCATGGAGATGCCCAGCCTCCTTCTAGGGGGCTCTGCTCTGCCCTCACGAAGAGGCTGGGTAACTGTGTCCTCGCTCTACCTCCGCCCGCCTGCCTTTCTCTGGAGACACGTGTGCTAACTCCCGCTGCTATGGAGGAAGGCTTGGCCATTGACATGAAAATCTCAATCAAGACTTGGCTTGGGCATCGAGGACAGGGCTGCCCACAGCTGCTCTGGCATCAGGAGACACCCCTTCCGGGCCCCTTCTCCGGAAGGACGTGGACAGCCGTTCAGAGCTCTACACCGGTTCCAGGAGGCGCCCTTGGGCTTCTAGGCTTATGCCCATTGGGGCCTCCCCCAGGACCTCTCTTCCTCCCCAACTCTGTCCGGGACATGGGGACGCGGACTCTTCACCTCTCAGCCCCCCAGATCTGGCCCACGGGAAATCTTCCCTATCCCCACCCAGGTCTTACCCACCAGCATCCGGTTTCTTCCATGCACGAATATTTACTTGCAAAGTGCCCCTCATAGCACAGGCCCTGCACTTACCCCTCAGGCTGTACTTACCCTTGTGTGAGGTCTGCTCCCATAACTGCCTCACCGGCCAAGCCACAGTAGGCAGCCGTGTGCATTAACTGACAACTAGCCTGGCAGGGAAGCTGCCAACCGCTCAGTGTGTGCTAAGATGCCTGCAGACGGTGATGCATCCACCTTAGGACGCAGGCTGGTGACTTATGTGGGGGCAAATCCATGGCCCTTCCCCCTGGGAGATGTGTACCTACCATCCCTCCTCTGGAGCCTGGCTGGCCTGGGAGTGCTTTGACAAACACTTGGCATAGGTGACACCATGCCAGCTCAAGGGCAAGCTTATAGGAAGGTCAATAGCTTTTGTCTCTGGATTGCAACCCGAGTCTTGAGTATGGGGTAAAAGTCCTTGTTGGGAAGACCATGTGGCGAGAACCAGGGGGCGCCTATGAGAGAGAAGGGGTCCCACAGAGACCAGCACCCCAGACTCTCCCTTGGTCTCAGGCAAGCCCAGCAGCTACAGCACACACATGGGCTGTCCACAAGGAGCAGAGCCGGCCAGCTGACTCTTCCTGAGCCCCGGATGCCCTGTCCCTGGTGAGCAGCTGGTGGGCTTGGAAGCCTCTGAGATCTGGAGTCATTCCTCATGCAGCTGAACTGATCAGTGCAGAAGTTACTCATCTTTCTTTGGTCCTACTGAGACCAAGGACACAGAAGGCTGAGCTCTGCAGCCAGGAAGCCCCGGGGTAGGTATCTGAGCCCAGAAAGGACCTGACTCTTGTTCCTGGGTCCTGGGTGATCACAGCAGGGAGTGTCCTATACTTCTACAACTGGAACTCCATCCTAAAACTCATTTTCTCAAAAGAGAAAAGAGGATGCACAACCTTCCTCCTGGGATCTCACTCAACTCTCCCAGCAAGGAGGGGCTCAATATTTTCAGAGTGACTTTGATAGGGGAGTATGAGAATCAGATGTAAGTGAAAAAAGAAGGGGGGAGGGATAGTTTTATAGGAGTCCTGTAGTGTCAGACATGTGCTTTGAGCTTTTCACTTAGTATTTACCTATTTCCTCCCAATCCGAGAGGCATGGATTCTTATCCCAATTACAGACGGGAAATCCAAGTTTGAAAACTCACCTGGCTGGTCAGTATTAAAGCCAAGATAAAAATCCAGATTCCTCTGGCTCTATAGCCCATATTCGCTTCACTTCAACTATCTAGTCAAAATAACCGGCGGTTCTCACTGTCAGATTTGACAATGATCTCTCATTTTATTTCATTTTCTTGACTTCAGGGCCACACCCAGATGTGCTCAGGGTTTACTCTGAGCAGTGCTCAGGGAACCATATGCAATACTGGGGATTGAACCCAAGTTGACCATATGGAAGGCAAGTGCCTTACCCCTGTCCTATCTCTCTGGGCCCACATCAATCCCTCTTAAATAGAATCTTGTTAGCACTGTGTCATCAACCAACCATGGCCAACGGTGAACTGAACTGCATTCAGCATGAATTCTAATTGGGCTGGCCACGTTGGGCAGCACACCCACCCAGCTTCAAGTCATTTTCAGATGAACCGAATTCTGGAGTAACAGAGGAAGTACACCTCGAACATCTGGGTCTTCGATAATTAGCAGGACTTTGCTGGGCCAAGTGGGAAGAAGGATAAATCCTGCAAACAGATGTTCAAGAGTGTAGGCAAAGGCCAAGAGCAGGCTCAGGCTTGGGGAGATGCTGATAAACATGCTTGCACCCATGCATGCACATACATATATTAAGCATTAAGTACATACATAGCATGATGCACGTATATAGATACTCTACATAAAATGTCACATATGAGGTTATATACCGACGTGTTAGTGAAGATGACACTTGGTGGTAGGTACGGACAGTTCGCATGCTCACTCCCCTTCTCTAACTTTTCTCCACTGAATGCTTATTGCCTACCTCAACACTAAAATGGAAGAAAAAGGCCAACAAACCCCCAGGGGGCTTGAAGAACGGCCACGAGAAGGCAGCAAGGGTCAGGGAGGAGGCTGGACACTGGCTAATGAGGTGGGAGAGGTGAGCAGGGGTGACTTCCATGGGCACCTGACTCTGAGCATCCAAACAGCATCCTCCAGGCTCCTCTCCTCCCCTTCACACCCTCAAACCCCAGAGAATGCCCTACTTGGATCCTACTGGAGACAAAGAATACCCACGTTGAGGCAGGGGCCGAGAGCATGGGAAGCAGAAGCACGAGTCCTGGCCTGCTTCTCTGGGCACTTGTGGCCAGTCAACGAGCGCACAGAAGCCACCGAGGGCTGCTAACGCCCACCTTTCTACCTCTGGGGGTCACACAGCCACACAGGCACAGGACAGAGGCACGAGGGAGGTGAAGGGTGGCGTCAGCAGAGATGCTCTCGTGAAGAGGCACGCGTGGGGCCTGTCAGAGGAACTTGCTTCCTGCAGAGTGAGGGGACGGGGGTAACTGGAGGCAAGAACCTGCGTGTGAGGGGCCAGGTGAGTCACGAGGGCTCCCCACACACAATGGGTTCATTTACTGAAAATGTGATGGGACGTTCTGTCCTCGTCCCAAAGCATGGGAAGCCTGAGAAAGTCAGTCTAGGTTTCCCCCGTGGATGAGGAGGCTCCCACTTTTCCAGCCAGGGACGCCTCATCCGTTAGAGAAACGGGACAGGCCAAGCTCTCCCAAGTCTCGAGTGCTTGGCTGCGCGTCCCTCTAACTCCTACCTTCTGCATTTACTAAGTGCATTGGTGTGGGTTGTTTTTTTTTTTTTTAATCATCATACACATCATCTCCATTTGCCAAAGTAGCAACTATGCAGAGATAGGGAGGGCTCTCCAGAAAGAGGACTAGGCTGAGAAAGTGATCTGTGAGGGGGCAGGAGGGGGCTGGGGAGGGCAGGAGAGCAGAGAAGGCAGCCTGGGTTCTAAGCTTCTCTGGGCCTCAGCTCCTGAAACCCTCACTGGCTCCCATGAGAACCCCACTATGCGGTCCTGAGGACCCCACTGTCCCCCTCAGATGCTCCCTGTCAGGGGCTGGTTTCTGGTGGAAGCAGGACAGGACGGAGTGGGAGGAGGGTGAACCAAGCGTGTGGGCCCGGCCACGCCCCTGCCACAGGTCAGCTCCCAAAGCCTTTTCCTGTCAGTTGTCTCTGGTAGCAGCTCCCCTATGGGGTGTGCTCAACTTAGGAGAGTTCCCAGAGGAGGGGGAGTCAGGATTGGACAAGGCCATAGAGGGCCCAGCTGGTTGGGCCTGGGAGCTGATGGACTCCCAAGCCAGTGCTTATTCTCCCCAGGTGCACCTGGGGTCCACATCCCTAAAGCCAGCTCCGGCCACTCCTGCCTCTCACCCCGCCCCCGCCCCTGTCCCCAGCCCCCCACACCTGGCCCGCACCTGGTCTCCAGGGGGATGTTACTGTTGAGTAGCCAGTTGTCCTGGGCGTGGGCCGGCTCCTGCACGGCGCTGGCGGGGGGCTCTGCGGACAGCGAGTGGTCAGTGGGTGCTGGGCTGGGGTTGCTCCTGGGCGTGAAGTTGCCCCGGTTCAGGGAGCTGACGGAGGCTGCGTGGTGCTGGCTGGGGGTGTGCGCGTGCGGGAGAGGCGGTGTCCGGAGCCGGGGGTGGTTCTGTAGGCCGCCGGGGTGATCTGGGGTACAAACACGTTATCAGGGGGCAGTCCGGACCCTGGCCAGAGGAGCATGCCAGGCACAGCAGCGCAGATCAGACACAACTGGCATTCGGTGAATATCCGCTAGCACCGACAGCGCAGGGGGGTGCTGGGGTTAGAGCGAGACCCCAGCCAGTTCCCTGCACCCACTGGGGGGGGGCGGTGGAAGGAAGAGAGGGAAAGAAGGACAACTGGAGAAAGATCAGTCCACAGTGGCAGTTTGGGACAAGCCGTTCAACACTGCCCAGGGACCTGTCAGGAATGAAAATGTCAGAGGCACAGCACAGCAGACAAGGTGACAGCACACAGCAGACCTGGGTTCCCTCCCCTGCACCATGCCAGGGCCCCCCTGAGACCCGCCAGGAGTAAGCCCACAGCACAGTCAGGAGGGAGCCCCCTGATTTCCCAGACGCCGCCCCAGATTGTTGGGTGCAGCCTCTGAGAACTGGGTTACAGAAGGGAAGGGCCAGGCCAGCTGGAGCTGATGAGCTAAGTGAGAGCCAGGCCCTGCTGAGGTGCTGTCTCGGAGAAAGGCAGCGCCTGGACAAAGCCCCAGGCCTGTGTATATGGGACCTGGTGCAAACTGTGACATTTCATTCATTCATTCATTCATCCATCCATTTTCATTTTCTAACAGTGAATCACAAAGTTATGCATAATTGGGTTTCAGGTATGTAATGTTCCCTAATCCCTTCACCAGTGTTCACTTCTCTCCACCAACGTCCCCCTTCCCACCCCCCTTTCCCCACCCACCCACTTGATGTAGGCAGGAAGATTAAAGGAAGCCCAGCCAGCCCCCAACACACACACACACACTCACACACACACTCACACTCACACACACACTCACACACACACTCACACTCACACACACTCACACACACTCACACACACACTCACACACACTCACACTCACACACACTCACACACACACTCACACACACACACTCACACACTCACACACTCACACACACACACGCATCATGCCAATGAAATTTCTGGGAAGTAATAAAACCACCAGTTCTAAGTCTCACCCACCTGGAAGCAAGATCTGATAAGACCTACTCCAGCAGCAGACCCTGAAGAGACTGGACCCCTCCCTACAGAAAGGGCCTGAAGGAAATTACTTGAGAACCTCAATTCCTTCCTTTAATCTGATTTACCCTCAGCTGGCCCAGACCAGAGAAGTCTGGACCCACCCTCGGAGAGAAGCTCCAGCAGGAACAAAGGTCAAGAAAAGGTGTTTCAAAGCAGATCGCTCCTAGCTCTGCTCCCTTGGAAACAACCCTAGCAATGGACTCTTACCTAGCTGGAAAGCCCCACGTGGGGCACCTTGGGAAAACCCTATCAAAGCCACCTTGAACAAAGGGAGGGCACGCAGATGCTGCTCGAGCCCATGTGCTGCTGGCGCTCACGTGACCCAGTACATGTGGCATCAGGGCACATGTGTTGCCTGCATCTCCCCTCTTGAGATATGTACATGCATGTTTCCATATCTAATGCTGGGGCGTGTGCAGGGGCTCTTTCTACCCTTGGAGAAGCCTGCATTCTTTCTTGAGCAGTTCTCTCTCTCTCTCTCTCTCTCTCTCTCTCGTGCACGCAAGAACTTTTCCTCCCTCCTCACCTTCAAAAGCCTCCAAATAAAATCTGTTCTACTTCACTGCTGCTTTACTTCTAAAATTCTTTTCTGTGAGGCAAGACAAGAACCCGGTAACCCTAGGTAAGGCCTAGACTGACTTTTCTTTCCTGAAAGAACAATTCCTCATCCCAACCTGAGTCTGTGACTCCTGAGAAAAAGAAAGGTGACAGGGGTCAACTCCCATGCTGGAAGACCAAGTGGACGTCAGGTCCACCTGCTAGGGCTGGTGGGACTCTGGCCTGTGCTGAGCAGGGGCTCATCGCAGACTCTCAGTCCTAGACTTCCCAGCTGGTCTGGGGGTGGCGGAGGCGGTTCGGGAGAAAGTGACCGTCTCTCTCCTCTCCTCAGCCTCACATAAGCCATTGGTGGGGGCCCACTGACATCACACTCACTTGTGTCTACGAGGTGCACTTTTTTAAACTTTTGACACTGTGGTTTAGCGCACTATTTTAGACCAAGGGCTGGTAACGACCTAGACAGGAGATGACCCTGGAGTAAAGGCAGACCAGGCACCAGCCTGGGCCCTGGGGCATATATTTGACCCATCTGAAGAGGGGCCGTTTGCAACCCCATAAAGGAAATAAGACAGAATTGTTTCTACTTTCAAGTACTAAGAGCAGGACCCAATTCTTAGAGGGAAAATTTAAGAGCATGAGGATAGGTTAAGTGGGTTAATTTTCAAAGAAAGAAAGTTGGTAAAGGAGGGGGAGGTGGGGGGGTAAGGGTGTGGTCCTGAGCGGCAGTACAGAGGGTAGGATATTTGGCTTGCATGCAGCCAACCTGGGTTCAATCCCCAGCATCCCAGATGGAACTACTGCCAAGCGTAGTTCCTGAGTGCAAAGCCAAGGATGTGTGCCTGAGCACCCCTGAGTACTGCCGGATGTGGCCCCCAAACCAGAATAATTAAATGGAAAAGAACGTTCCCAGGGATGTCAGCCCAGGAGAGGAGCTCTGGGAACCATCTTCACGGCTCCCCTAACCTGCCCGCAGGTGGGCATTTGGGGTGAAGCAGCCAGGAAGATGGACCTACTGGTCCTTGAGCCACGGGCCACTCAGCCCACACAGCAGGGCCCCTCCATGGAATCCTGCGTTAGAGGTGGGTCTTGGGCAGTGATTAGCTGGAGATGAGGGGATAAGAGGGGCCCCCAAAGCAGCGCTGGCTTAGTCCCTCCCAAGAAGAGACAAGAGTGCTCGCTCGCCTGCTCTCCCTCACTGCCCGTCCTGAAACCCGAAGGCGGCTCTCAACATGCCTTGCAGTTCACCCTCACAGCAGAAAGGCCACTGCGGACTGCTGAAGCCTCCCTGTCCGTGTTCATCTCAAATGCCTAAACCCAAACAGAAATCAGTCACAGATGTGGGAAACAGGGGGAAGGGTGGCAGAAGTGAGAATCGGGCTGAGTCTAAAAGAGTTTCAGGCCCAGGCTAGGAAAGATGACATCGGCACCCAGGGCGGGTTGGAGGTGAGTGTTAGCGCTACGAAGGGGAAGGAGCTTCCACCTTCTTTAGGAATATGCAAGTAAGTACAGAGTGGCCGTGGGACATTTCAGTTCATTCTGACTCGGTCTCGACTGGAAACGAGGAGCATTTTCCCAGGAGAGCGGAGAGGCTCCTCGTGGCAAAGCGGTAGGAAACTTGGCTGAAACACATTTTGTGTTCCGTGTTTGGTGGAAGGTAGAGCTTGTGAGTGGTAAAATTACCACCTCTGTGGCTGAGGAGTCGGCGTCTAAGCCAAGAGCTGGAAGTGTGATGTGCTTCCTCTGGAGGCTTATACCACACTGTGAGGAGAGAGAAATGAAGCAAAGGAGAAACTGTGGCACACACGGGAACCACGCGCAAAGACGTGGCCATTTCTCTGCCTGGAAGGAGCTATGGAGAAGTCAGATGGAGCTGATGGACCGTTTGTAGGAAAAGTAACACAGGTGTGAGACCTGGATCCCCACAACCTCCCCGCAAGAAACACTGCTGTTCTTCAGTAAAGAGTGGGGGACTGGTGGTGATTTCAGATCCTCAAGGTCATAGTTTTAGGGGCTCAAAGATAACTATGAATGCATCTCTCAGCCTTGGTGAACTTCAGTTTTCTCCTCTGCAAGCGGGGCCAGGAGGTGAGGGTGTAATATTTGGATCTGGGAAAGAACAGAGCTGCACAGCATGCAAAAAGGGGGCCAGTGGAAGGAAATACGTGCGTGGCACTGAGGCCAGAGAGGAATATTGGCTCCTTCTGGAAGAGGCCAGCTATGGCCGTAGGAACTCTTCCCCAGGTCCAGGACCTGCCCTGACTTGAAACGCTGTCCAACTGAGCAGAACTTGTCCTGGGAAAGCCCCCTGCTGTTGGCATAGCAGGAGCAGAAGGGTAGAGCATCACTTCACTCTAAGTCTCACTCATGGAACAGGTGGTCAGTTAAAATAGATAACGGAATGGTTGGGGGCTGAGATAGGGCAGCAGATAAAAGCCCCCCCCCTCCCACTTTCTCTCCCTCTCTGCATGCTCTCTCACTCCCTCTGGACTCTCTCTTCTCTTCCCCAACCTCCAGGATCAGGTACTGCTGTGCATCTGGACACATGACTCAGATGACCCAGGCTGGCCATGTAGGCTCAGAAGGGGAGAATACAGGCAGGGCTCAGGCATCCCAGAAAGCTCGAATTCGGGCAGGGCTCAGATGCCCAGGTGCCGAGCACAGGTGTCTTACCCACACGCATGTGGCTATGGCTGGAGATGAGGGAAGGAGAACTGAATGACAGGAACTGCTGGGGTACCACTGGGAGCTTGGCAAGAGGCACAGAGCACAGAGATCTTGCCCCCCACACGTGGCCATGGCCAGAGGCTGGGGAGAGCATATGCAGGATAGAGAGTGATGCAGGGACAGGACCTGGCCGTCGTTCCTGAGAAGTGAGTGGACAGTGTGGGAAAAGACAGGGAGGTCGTTCAGGGGACAGGGGGGTGTCAGGGATAGGACGGGTGACATCATTCACGGGTAAAGGACAAAGGCCGGGACAAATGGGGAGGGACCTGAACCCATCTCCTTTATCTGTATGATAACTAACTTTCACCCTTTCGAGTTTGGTCTGTAAATCTCTTATATTATTCTCAAGAATCCACCAGCGCAGGAGAATCCACTTTTGCACTAACACTGTCACTGGCGTTTCCTTCTTACAACACTTCTTTTTTTTTTTAATTTTTATTAGTGTGAACCTCATGAAACGCTATGAGGTACAGTTGTAGACTTACAAATTTTTGTGCTTGGGTTTCAGTTATACAATGATCGTGTACCCATCCCTCCACCAGTGCCCATTTCCCACCACCACGGATCCCAGTATCCCTCCCATCCCCCATGCCCCCCAT